ATATATTGTATACAACTTATTGTATATAACGTACAACAATAATACGTGAATAAGCAATGAATTGAAATAAATTTACAATTGTATTAACTTTTTACAAACGATTTCTTAAAATCAAAGTTCATCTCCACTGCAGGCGTGTCTAGTCTTTTAACAAATAGATAAAGAATGTATAGACAAGACATTAGAGAGTTTAGTTGTTCTGCCAATTATATGAAGACATCCGAAATGCTATAACCGTTTTCAACGCTATTTAACGCTAACCTACAAGTGCTGACACTAGGGATCAACTACTGTGCCCTCCATTACTCTGAGGATAACTCAGTGATATCTGTGGTTTGATTGGTCTCACAATTGGTGTCATTAGTGTCGCAAATGGTCTGCGATTCTTGATCTTTGTGTTCGGATCTTTGCCTTTCATTCAATTCAATGGCTTTCTGTTTCTTCTCATTATCGGCCGCCTGTTTGAGAATAGAGGCCACAGTCGGCGGATGCGAGCGATTAGTTCTGTTATATTCCTTTCGGCGTCGAGTTCTTGTGAATGGTTTAGTCGACTCCGGAATACAAGTCCTTTGAGGCAACGAAATAGCGTTCGCAATGTTTACTATTGGCCCAAATCTTCTACTATTGGGAACAAACCAATCAATACCTCAACGCTTTGCAGAAGAAGAAAAAGAAGTAGTCTTTTCAGACATTGTATACAAAATTGTTATTAAATTTTTATTTTCCAAATATTTGTTTCACTCAACACTTAAATAGATTTATATTTCAATTGAATAAAACATTTTTAAAAACACCGATAAATTGAAATCAAAATTTATTCATTTTATAAGTTTTGCAAAAAATAAAAGCGTTTTATGGCTTGAAATCCGATTTATGAGCCACTGATTGGAGACGTGAAGTGATAGCCAAAAAAGAGACAAACAATTAGTTTAAATGCAATTAAAATAAATAAATCAATCATTTCATACACAATGATATTATTGATGGGAATGTGAATGAGTTTAACGAAGAATCCAATGAAACCCATGATCGCGAACCCGATCGCTGTGGCCATCGCTATCTTCTGGAACTCTGTAACCATTGATGGTATCATTAGATCAACTCATTTAGCACTTCATTATCATATAAATGGCATATCAATGGTATGGCAAACCTTTTCGGTCGGGTTTTGTGCACCTCTTAACCAAACGGATCGAGTCTTTGGCGAACTGTCGTCCGGGCTCTACGAATGACATCACTTGATCCATGTCTTGATTTGATCCTTACTTTTGGACACAAATTAACACAAATATTGAGTTTAATTGTTTGAATGTGTGTTCACTTCAACACAACTGATGCCTCACTTGTGTTACACGTATTCATTTGATTCACTCAAACGGCTGTCACGTGATCTCACACTACACTCCATGTATACACACTTATCAACCAATCAATGCTTTTCTTTAATTCATTGCTATTTTAACACTAAATCTTGTTTTCATACAAATTTAATTGACATTTAATTTATGTTTAAATAATCATTTGTGCATAAAATGTCATTTTAAGCATTGGTTACTATAAGGAGACGTAACTGTATATAAGTTTGTTAGCGATTCGACCAATCGATGATCGATATGATAATCCTATAGTAAATTCATTCATAAATATTCATCACATCATAAATGTGTGGCATTTAAACGGCAATAAAATACACGAAACATATTGTGAGCAATAAAATGGGGGAAACACTTGTTGTGAGTGTTGTGTCACGTAATGTATGAATGACTGCATTCGCGCTAAACATAGAGTGACTGCTATATCGAGAATATGACCTCATTATTGATATTAACATATATTGTATAATAAGTCTATTTATTATGTAATGATTGACTCGAATAGCAATCAATACAACAATCGATACCACAATTAACTGATTGTATTGTCATTTAAACGACTAAATCATTTGCTTATGAATTCAATTCAATCACACATTCAATTGTTTTGACACTTGTTTTGCTTCCCATTTGGTTATTGTTTACTGTTTTTTGTCAATATTTTGTTAACCAATGAATGAGTGATTCATTTAATTATTGAATCAATTGTTGAATGAATGGACGAAATGTGTGCCCAATATGTGAGTGAATGGATGGAAGCGATGCCTAAATAATGACACAATTATGAGCGCTTGTGTCCAAACTTGTGTCCAAACCAGTGGTTCCCACGAATCGCACGCAAACACTGGCGCCAACTCTGACACCAATTATGCCAATCATCACATATCCATCACTACAACGCTTCCCACACTTCACGCCCTGACGACACTCAACTCAGCCGACATCGGAATCGATGGTTATGTCGCCAATTGTCACAATCAGGCCATTAAAACGAATCCAGTGTCGCAGACGTTGTCATCCAATGGCGTGCCTTCGAGTCCTTCCTCTTCAGCGAATCCTCCATTTATTGAAATACCGTTTGGTTGGAGACGAGAGCTAATAGACGGCCGAATGGTGTATTACAGTCCAACCAATTGTTTGCTTCAATCGGTGGACGAGTTGTCTGCATATCTGGAGAGTGAGGGCACGTGTAAGTGTGGTCTCGAGTGTCCGCTACACATCTCCCGGGCGTTCAGTTTCGATGTCTGTGTGGTCTCTAAGCCCTATGACATAGAAGTGGCCAAAAGTAGTAATCAAAACAAGTTATGTAATCACAAGCGAAAGATCATTGCATTCGCCACTTATAGAGAGCAGCAACTGATTGCTGAACAACAACTCAATCAAAACCACAATCAACTCCACAAACAACACATCCATTCAGACATCACTTCTAACAGTCATCTCTCTAGCCATCAATTGAGTGCATCTCTCAATACAAAGCATTTAAAACTACAACAAAGACATGACATTCAAAGCGCACAACACAACGATTCAAATGTCTTGAATTTGTCTCATCTTTTTAATCATAACTCAAATTCATGTCAAATAAATGTCACAAAATATGCCAACGACTCACTCATAGACACCGTTTCTACTCTCCATTCAAACCAAAACTTAGCAAAATTTGGTCATCAGTTAAGTGGCGCCGAATCACTGGTCAGTCAACAACAGTTTCGGCACAACTGTTCCAATGGATTGCAAGACTCGCCGGAGAAGCAAACCATCATTGGTTCGCATCAATTGCAACCGCAATACATCCAACAGACGCCCAATTGTGACAATCGATGCCAGTATTCAGTGCAGATGACCGGCGATTACATACCGCAAGCGGCGGCCAATTCTTTCTGTCTGTACGGCCAGAACGGCAATAATGGTGTCTATTCTTTCTCTGCGTGCGATTCCACACAAATCACTGTTAATCCAAACGATAAGACATCCATTTATTTAACGCCACACAACCAATCAAATTACGGACAAATGATTTCCTACGACAACACAAATGTAGATATTATCCAATCCTCTCATCCGCAGACTTTCACTTCAGACACTTTTAGCCATCCCTTCCAGTCTTCGCCCACTGTTTGCAACTCAAACATAACGACAATTCCTTCCGCTTATATACCGCTTCCGTCTGCGGACAACTGCGCCGCCAATTCCGGTGCCCTCTCTTTCGGCACTAATTCTTTGTCAACGAATACCATAACTCTTAACCCGACATATCATTCAGGACTGCAGACAACGCACGACACCTCTCACTGTAATCCACAGAACAATATATCAATTCTATCGCAAAACGCGTCCATATCTCCGATGCCTCCGCTTTCAGTCCCAAATAACATCACTTCTGTGACCAGTTCTGTGACGGATGTGATTCCAGCGGTCGGTGTCGCGCCTCAGATAATCAATTCAAACAACACTTCGGGTGCTCCACAAGTCCTCCAATTCATAAATTCTGTGCCATTAACTCAGATAACGGCCAATACTGTGACTGTTTTACAACAGGCGCCGGCGCCCGAAGTGCCCGCCACTACTCTCATCATACCTCAGCTGATGCAACAACACGACCATCAGATGGTCATTAACCATACGATGACATCACAGCCCGGAATGTATCCACACATCGCCACCGCCGCCGGTCTCACAGCTTTGCCCAACGCTTTCCAAAACGCTATAAACATTGCGAACGCTATTTCGTTGCCTCAAAGGACTTGTATTCCGGAGTCGACTAAACCATTCACAAGAACTCGACGCCGAAAGGAATATAACAGAACTAATCGCTCGCATCCGCCGACTGTGGCCTCGATTCTCAAACAGGCGGCCGATAATGAGAAGAAACAGAAAGCAATTGAATTGAATGAAAGGCAAAGATCCGAACACAAAGATCAAGAATCGCAGACCATTTGCGACACTAATGACACCAATTGCGAGACCAATGAAACCACTGATATCACTGAATTATCCTCAGAGTAATGGAGGGCACAGTAGTTGATCCCTAGTGTCAGCACTTGTAGGTTAGCGTTTAAAACGGTTATAGCATTTCAGATGTCTTCATACAATTGGCAGAACTAACGACTAAACTCTCTAATGTCTTGTCTATACATTCTTTTTATCTATTTGTTAAAAGACTGGACACGCCTGAAATGGAGATGAACTTTGATTTTAAGAAATCGTTTGTAAAAAGTTAATACAATTGTAAATTTATTTCAATTCATTGCTTATTCACGTATTATTGTTGTACGTTATATACAATAAGTTGTATACAATATATATGTTTAGATAAAAAAGTAATAAAATATTAATATAAAACAAACGCTAAAACATTGCATATTTTGTACAATTTGTGGTTAAAAATTATAATTTAAATTGAATTAATGGTTAAGAAAACATAACATAATGTAAGAGAAGATTGAATAGAAGAATGAATATTGAATAGAAAACGTGTATTTTGTAACAGAATTGAACATTGAATATACGAAATAGTAGTTTCAGTCATATCTCCAGCGATAGCCACAAGTGATGCAAAGACAGAGAGTAGTCATGGGTTCGTCCGCCCTTTCGATCTGCACCTGACTGTAAGTACAGGTATTGCTCTTACATTTGGGACACTTGAGAAGATCGCATGTCGTGCCAAACACTTCAGGCAAAAGGTTGGCCGCAATGGCCTCGTCGTGGAATTGTTGTCTCATTTGTTTCATACGATCGCTGGCCATATCTTCGGCACTCATAGTCGCGATTTCCTTTACGGTTACGGTTCCCTTCAGTACCCGATATCTTAAGCTCGCGTTTTGTTCATCGCTTAGATTCGCGATACGACTCCTGACGCGAGTCTTATACTTGTTATCCGTATTATTAAACTCTTGGAAAATATGTTTCTCGATCTCAACGGCGAGTTTCACGACTCGAAAGATGTCATCTTTGAGTTCTTCGTTATTCGGGAGCAAAGATTTCAACAAAAGTTCTCGACTTTTAAGACGAGTTTCATCTCTGATCCCATATCTTAAGATTGAATCCATTTTATGCTTAGCTTTAATTCTACGAACTGTTTGGGCATTCTTTTCGTGTCTAACGCGGGAACCATTGATCATATAATTCTTAAGCGCATTGTTTTCAATAATTACTGACCTCTTCCACGACATAAGCAGATCTTTGGATGTTTTCACCACTTCCTCGTCAGTCATTCTTTTTCGCAAATTATTTATCGTCAGAATTATCTTTGCATTTCGTATCAAATATGGATCTACTTTAAGGACTTTTAGGAGATTTAGTATTTCCAAAACTTGAGTTGACTTTTCCTTCTTGTCGTTAGAAACGATTGCTTCGAGTTTACGACTCATTTCAATCAATTCGTGTTTTGTAGACATTGTGTCCGCTTTGCTCCGCTTCTGGCCACTAATGTGTTGTCACTCTCGGCAATAATTTTATCAAATGAGTTGTATAAATAGTCAATTAAATACACATTAATTTATGCATTTCTTCTTTCATATATCTAATGAAATGCTAACCATTTGAACACTATTTCCCAAATGGATTTTTTGTCAATTCATTTTCTATATAAAACAATAAGTTATAGCCAAGTGTTCTCTATTTGTGATAGGAATTTACCACAATTTTTAATAATGCAAATTGTTTTTCTAATTCAAGTGCTTTTAAAAGTTTGCAATTAATTGTCACTTTTAAGCTTATTATATCGATAAGAAATGTGTTTGACTTCTGTCTAAAATATTTAGCTAATTTTAAAAATATTAATGTTTGAATGTTTTAAGATTTGCTTCATATTTATAATAATTATTTGTAAGTTAAAACTTATAATTAAAGCATTGATTTGAAGTTAAATAACTTTTTGTTCCGAAAGCGGAGAACCTCCTGAAAGTTTGGGGGCACACCATATACCACCTTAGGAGTATTTTGGAAG